GAAGGCTGGCTGTTGTCAGGGTTGTTATTGAGGGGTTTGAGGGACAAGAGCTGGATTATTTGGAAAGGGGGGTGCTATCTGAAGGTGGAAGGGGGAGGCTGGCACCTGGAAAGGGGGGAGACGATGGAAAGCAGCAGGAGGCAACCCCCAGCCTTGCAGCCCACCCACAGGGGGAGTGGGGTAGAGCAGCCCTCCCCTCCTCTTCTGATCCAAGCTGTCCTGGACCTCTGCCATCTCTTTGGGCCCACCCTCTTTTTTTTCCTATTTCTCATTCCTCGCTAATTTTTTAAAATTAAACTTGTAATTTTGAGATAACTGTAGATTCACATGCAGTTGTAAGAAATAACACAGAGATGCCATGTGCCCGTCACCCAGTTTCCTCCAGTGGAAACACCTTGCAGAACTGAGGACAAGATCACACCAGGACAGTGACCTCAACACATCCCCATGGGACCCCCATGTTGCCTTTCCTAGCCACACCCACTTCCCTCCCGCCCCCAGCCCCTCCTTAGCCACTGGCAAGCCCTAATCTCTTCTCCATCTCTGTAATGGTGCCCTCTTAAGAATCCGGTGTAAATGGAGCCATACGGGTGCAGCCTTTGGGGACTGGCTCCTTTGCTCTTAGGCTGTGCATCACTAGTCTTTCCTTTCATCTATTAAAAGAGAAAATTCAAATGGGGCCTGCCAGTGGCGTAGTGGTTAAGTTCGCACGCTCTGCTTCAGCAGCCTGGGGTTTGCAGTTTCAGATCCTGGACATAGACCTATGCACTGCTTATCTAGCCATGCTGTGGCAGGCGCCCCACATATAAAGTAGAGGAAGATGGGCACAGAAGTTAGCCCTGTGCCAATCATCCTCAGAAAAAAAAAAAATTAATGGACTAAATTCGAAGATCTAATCAGCTTTATGAATCAGCCGGCATCTCATCTTGCAAGCAGAGATGCTCCAGGGGTTACACGACATGGAAGCCTTCTCTAGTAAGAAGGGCGGGACAAGGAAAGGAAGTCAGCAGCAAGGAAAAAATGGAAGCTCACTGGAGGAAACGAAAAATTCAGGTGATGACAGCCCGGCAGCTTCTCATTGGCTGAGCTGCAGCATTTCCCACTGGCTGAGCTGTGGCATGTCTGATTGGCTGAGCTGCAGCATGTCTGATTGGCTGAGCTGCAGCATTTCCTATTGGCCGCACTTGTTGCTGGGCAAGAAGGAGAGCTTTTTCCCCCTGCAAGCGCTTCCCGTTTGGAAGTACAAGGTCTCTCTTCCTGTCCGGGTCTGTAATTGACGCCCCACTGTTTGGGGCAGTTGACCGCAGTGTCGGGGTGTGCGAGCTCCGCTACAGGCCTTCCCGACTTAGTGCTAACATCGCCGTGACGTTCTGTTTTCTGTCTTGTCCGATCCTGTCTGCAACCACCAGGCTGTGCTGTCCCCTAGTGGGCCCAGCGGTGCTGCGCCCTGAGGCTGGTGAGCCTGCTGGTCGTGAGGTCACAGCCGTGGGGCAGGGGGTGCCCCACGACCATGGAGCCCCCAAACTGTGCCCTCCAGACACATGACCCCAGGGGTGGTGGTGCCGGGCTGCCAGCCTCAGCCTGAATGCCTGGGAAGCCCCCTCCTTGGCCCAGGCGACCTGGCCCAAAGCCTCACTGTGCCCCTGCAGGCTCAGTGCTCTGACAGCCGGGAGATCCAGGCAGATGCGGTCAGCACCTTCCCGAGGGCATATGGCCAGTGAGCCTGAGAGCAGGAGTCCAACTCCGTCATCTGACCTGTGGAAGTTAAGAAAGAAACCTGGACTAAGTCGGAGTGGGGGAGGCCTGCAGGGGGAGCTCTCACCCCTCTCTTGTCCTCAATTACTCCAAACAGCAGACAGACTTGATCTCCAACAGGAAGTACAACTACTTTACTGGAAGGAAGATTTCTCTCCCCACCCGGCAACAGCCCAGCCAATCAGACACAATGCAGCTCAGCCAATGAGAAATGCCGCAGCTCAGCCAATGAGAAACGCCACAGCCCAGCCAATGAGAAACGCCGCAGCTCAGCCAATGAGAAACGCCACAGCTCAGCCAATCAGACATGCTGCAGCCCAACCAATGAGAAGTGCTGCAGCTCAGCTAATCAGACATGCTGCAGCTCAGCCAATGAGAAACGCTGCAGCTCAGCCAATCAGATATGCTGCAGCTCAGCCAATCAGACAGGCTGCAGCCCAGCCCATCAGACAGGCTGCAGCTCAGCCAATGAGAAGCCATTGCTGCCCTGATCTGTCACTCTCTCCCAATGGACTTTCCTTCAGAACAGCCCCTCCCTCTCCCCCTTTCTCTATAAAAGCAGCTGCCTCTTTTCTTTTCGGGATTTGCTTATGGTTCACTGTATCGTGGGCATCCTGAATTGCAATTCTTTTGGCTATTTCTGAATAAACACATTCTGAGATAAAATAACAGGCAAATTTGCTTTTTAAGTGGACAGACCCCATCCAGAGCTGTCCTTCTCCGGGGGTCCTCCCCCTCACTCACACACCCTGGAACATTTCCCCCCACCCCCACACCCTCCAGCATGGACTCAGTGCCTAGGGCCCATGGAGGAGGTGAGGCTAATAGTGGTGAGTGGCAAAGTCAGAGGAGGGGCTGTCCTGGGGGCGGGGCAAGAGTCACGTGGCTGGAAGCTGGTGTGTCAGGTGGATGAGGTGAAGAAGGGGACAGTGTGGGCCAGATCCTGCAGGTCAAGGAAACATGAATCACAGTGCAGGCAGCTGGGCCTGCAGGGGCCGAGGACTCAGAGAGCCGACGACTGGAGGGACAAAACCAGCTCTTGCTGCCCCCAGTAACCAACACCAGGTGTGTGCGGTGCAAGGACAACAGGGGAAAGTTGAATGAGGAGAGGTGACCTGGGGGTTTGTGGGGTGGAGGGGGACAGAGGAGGGCCCAGGCAGGGCGGTGGCCGAGTGTGGGGTGCTCCCTGCAGAGCCTTCTGCACTGGGCAGATGAGGAGGAGCATCTCTCCCTCTGGGGCCTTCTTTGGACTCTCTGTCCTGGTCACCCGGAGATGGGCCAGGCGTTCTTTGTGACCTGGGTCCCCACTGCCCAGCACAGGTTCCTGCTAGAAAATGTCCCTCCTGTGACCGCGAGGAGCGATAGACAGAACTCTGTTTCCTCATCTGGAGGAGGAGGAAGACCCCGCCTGGCCGGGGTCTTTGTCTGTAGCAGTGGCAGGGTGGGCAGCCCTCTGTGCTCTGTCCACTGATTCACTCTCTGGGCTTTTCTTTAGGCTGACAGGAGGCCTGGGGGCCAGTCCGGGGGACCAAGGAGGGTCCCTCCCTGCCTGCCCTGACTGCCAGAGGGAATGTGCTGAGTCCCAGAGACCGAGACCCTGTGGCTTTGAGGGACCAAGAGTGTCCAGGAGGAACCTGCGTCCAGTGCTCTGAGTGCTTGGCCCTGAGGGTGGTCCACACAAGTGGGACCCTGCCACACTCCAAGGAGGCCTCTTTGTGGCCGTGTGGGTCGGAGATGCCTAGCCTGCTTCCTAGGAGAAGCTGCGTAGGTTTTGAGGATGTAAGGAAACTGGTGTGCAAAAGCCCAGACTTACACACACGGGAGGAGCAGGAGGTGGTGTGGAAGCCTCAGGGCCCTTCCAGGGCCTCCCCTCATGTATTTGTAAATATCTTCTGCGCAATACTGCCTCCCAACAGGGTGAGTCTCAATTCCATGCAGCCTGCCCCTGGGGGCCCTGCTCCCTCCAGGCTATGGGGGCCCCAGAGAGCTGCTCAGCTCCCTGTGTTCCTCCAAGAGACACCCGATGTGTATCGTTGCCACATTACAGTTTGTAAATCGTACGGGCGGTGTACGCGGGTGTGTGCCCCAGGAAGCCCCGGGGTGCGTTTCAGAGAAGTGACCTGCTGCAGCTCTAGGGCAGGTGGATGGGCGTGTGGCTTCCCACCGGTGGACAGTCAGCACACCTGTTGGTCGGGCCTGTTGAACCAGAACCCGAATATTCGGGCGTTGAGCCAGTGTGGGGTCTGGAAGGAGGTCTGCGGCTGTCCTGAAAGGATGTCTGCGGCTGTCCTGAAAGGATGTGGGCTCAATAAAGGTGCTAAGGGGGCTGGGCTGGGGGAAGCCAGCTGGGGGAGAAAGAGACTGCAGGCTGCCTGGTCTGGGGTCCCACCCACCAGCAGACCCTGCCCCAGGGCCCCGCCCAGAACGAGGGGGGCTGCAGTTTGCTCTCCCCACCCAGCCGGAAGCAGAGGCGAGCTGGGCAGCCGGCAGCGTTTGCTTCAGTGTCAGGGGGGCCTGGCGCTGTCCAGGGAGAGAACAAGGAGGGGTCGCCCTGGGCCGGTCTCGCCGCCCCTTCCCTGCCACTGGCACCCGGTTCATATCCCTGAGCTGGGGGTCTGATGTCAGCGCCGCGTCCTCCCTGAGGTGGCTGTTGGGTGTCCCTGGCCCCAGTGGCCCAGAAATCATATCACTTCGTCGTCGGCGCATCTGTCCAGCACTCCCTGTGCTCGCTGAGCCCCCCGCAATCGCCGCCAGCCTCCCGCTTGCCTCAGGCGGCCGAAGTCGCACAGGCAGCGGTGGGGGCTGTGCTGCCCCCGGCGGCCCCCACGGGCTCGGAGCCCTCGCTGCAGAGGCTGCCAGCCGGCGTGTCTGGCTCTGCGCTGCGCAGCGTTCGTGTGATGTTGACAGATTTGGCCACCGTTGGAAGAAGCAGGCAGTTTCCACACAAACCCAGCTCACTGCCGGGCGACGGTGCTCGTGCCCCTCATGGAGCCCACTTCTCTGAGGGCGGGGCTCAGGGCCTGGCGGGCGTGCGGGGCGCCAGCGCGCCACCCCTTCTCCCGTCGCCACCCTTGCTGCCTGGCGGGGCCACGCCCCTCCGGCCTGCGCCTGGGCGGGGAGACGGACGGAGGGAGGGAGGGGCTGCCCCGTCCGGAGGCCACGCCCCCCACGGCCCTCCCGCGGCCGGCCCCCCAGGCCCCGGCCCGGCTCTGAGCGGTCGGGACAAGTCCTGCCCACTAGACGCCCTAGAGGTCGAGGAGAGGAACTGCCGTGTGTGGCGGGGGGCTGGAGGGCCACCTTGCGCCCCACCTAGTCTGCATCCCCGCCCGTGTTCGGTGGCCTGTCCCCCAACTCCCGCCAGCAGGGACGCCGCTCTGCGAGGCTCCCGGTTCGCCGTCCCACCGGCCCTTCCAGTTTCTCCCTCGTCGGACGTCCGAGCCCCGCCGCTGCGGCCCCTCCCCTACAGGGCCCCATGCGCCCCGTCGCCCGCGGCCCGACGCCCCGGGAGCATGGAGCCCTTTCTCAGGAAGCAGCTGACCTTCCTGTCCTCCTTCTGGGACAAGATCTGGCCGGCGGGCGCGCTGGACGACGGCATGCCCCGGTTCCTGGACCCTGGCGCGGACGCCGAGCAGCAGACCCCCGCCGCGGAGCCCCGCAGCCCCCCGGCGCGCGCGCGGCTCTTCAGGGCGCTGTACGACTTCACGGCGCGGTGCGCTGATGAGCTGAGCGTCAGCCGCGGGGACAGCCTCTACGCCCTCAAGGAGGAGGGCGACTATATCTTTGCCCGCAGGCTCTCCGGCCCGCCCAGCGCCGGGCTGGTGCCCATCACCTACGTGGCCAGGGCCACCCCTAAGACGCTCTCAGACCAGCCGTGAGTACACCGCCCTGGGGAGGCGGGAATCAGCGCAGGACTGAGTCTGGGGATGGCACGTCCAGGACCGTTGGGTCGCGCATCTGTTCATCCCCGGGGCCACTCCCCCAGACCCTGCCTGCAGCCCTGAGGGAGCACACAGCTGTGGTGCGGGGACACTAGGCACTCTGTGCCCCGATACTGCTAAGAAGGAAAGCTGCTAAGACTCCGGCAGGAGCGGTCTGGTCCAGGGGCAGCTCAGCTGCACTGTGTGAATGCATGCCACTGGCCCGGCACCCGCCTGTTGGTCACTCTGGGATCCTGTCTGGCAGCCAGGCCCCCTGCTCTCACACAGGGATTCAGCCCTGGCGTTGAACATTCCGGGGGTCTCTCCTTCCATAATGTGTGCTGAGTGGTCACTGCTTCTGGGTAGGGGGCTAGGATCCCAGATGCAGTTCCGGGTGGGGCAGACACGGCCCTGTCCTCCTGGGCTCCCAGTGCGGACATGAGTGAGTTGAGAGGCCATCCAGATGTCCTCTTGTGCTGTGAGGGGGTGAAGTCATGACTGGGGGGTGGAAGGGGTGATAAGCTGGGTCAGAGAGGTGTGTTCACCTGCCGCTCTCACCCATCCACAGTCACACAGCCCCTCTCCCCCCTGCACTGGGCCAGGTATGGGGCAGACAGGGCCCTGGCTTTTGGGATTGCTCCAAAAGAGCCTTGTTTGGGGAGTGGATACAGGTGGGGGAGCCCACCCATTCCCCCCAGAGTGCCCGAGACCCCTAGGGCTCGGGCAGTCCACAGGCAGGGAGTGGCTGACAGGGACACCTGGCCGTTTGCAGGCCAGTCTGCAGTCACAGAGGGAAGAAGACAGGGTGGGGACTTTCCCAGAGGGCTTCTTGGAGGGGGTGATCTCTTGGTCCAGGACAGGGTAGCCTCCTCACACAGCTGTGTGCCAGTTCGGAGCAGGGCCTTGCCGTACAGCAGTGGACATGGCATACGGCCTCAAGCCTTTGACTCAAACCTTGGAGTGGCCCCTTCCTGTCTTTCCCTTGAATGCAGTGGGTCAGCCAGGATGTTGTAGCCTTTGCAGTCTCCAGTGTCTAGAGGGATGGGGCACTGGCTGGGGACCCTTGGGGGCAGAGATGCCTCCTCGCAGCCCCATCATGCACAGAGGTGGTGTGCTGGGTGAGAATAGACTAGAAGCTGGTTGGTGAGCAGGTCCAGAAAAGCCAGGCCCAGCTGCCCGGCCCAGCTGCCCAGCCCAGCTGCCCAGACCTCACCCTGGTGCGGGCTCCTGGTCCTGCACCCGGCTGGGCCAGGCCTGGGCCCTGGGTGTGTCCTCTGCAGACCAGCATGACCAGGTGAAGGTCTCAGCTTCACCTAGGTCACCTCCAGCCTCCTGGGGGCCCCTTGGCACTTCCAGGGTCTCCTGGGGGATTTGCACATGGTAGGGGAAGCCTGGGTCGCAGGAAGATGTCTTCCGAGGGGACTCCAGGCCCCCAGCGCATGCCCAACCTGCTGGGAGCAGTGGGCAGGACTAAGCAGCCATTCTGATGGGGAGGGGCCCCACAGTCACCCCAGGTGTGGAGGAGAGACTCTGTGAGCAGCTCCTGGAGGCGGCTGGCAGGGCTCCTGGGGGAGGGGAGGTGCTGCTGTGAGGAAGAGCTAATGACTATTTGCCTGGGCTGGGGATGAAAGGGCTGACTGCACTCACGGTGTCATTAGCCCCAGACACCTGGCCAGCTGTCCCTGGGACCAGACCACTGGGTGGGGGAAGGCTCCTCAACCCCAACCGTGAGGTCTCTGCTCACAAACTGCTGACAGCCCCATCCAATCTTATCTTGCCCACTGCCCCACACCCCAGGGAGAGACCCTGAGAACATCCCTGAAGCCCAGGGTGTGCACAGGGGCTAAGCCTACCAGGCCCTGATGTGGGGCTCCAGGGGAGGGCAGAGGGTGGGGCAGCCTCTGCTTCTCCTGGTCCCACACAGCCCTGCTGCCCTGGGAGGGTCCCCTGCGGCCCCTTCACAGGTGACAGACTCAGGAGGCCCTCAGTGGGTGCAGCCCGGCAGCCTCACAGGGCTGCGCCTCCCGCTCCCAAACCAACGTGTCCCCAAAACGAGTTCGTCGTCTGCTGCCCAACCTGGTCTTGTCTCGGGGGACCCACGTCCACGTGTCCTTGACCCTGCCCCGTGTGTCTGCAGGCTTCACCTGACGTTTCTCAGGCCTCTGCCCATCACCTCACTGCTTCCTGTCTCTGGCTTTTTGCTCCCTCCAGCCCCAGCCCAGCCCCACGCTGGCTCTGGCCGTGTTGTTCCTAGCCCCCTTCCCATAGCTCCCCAGGGTGGGCTCAGGCCTGTCTCTGCCCCCTCCTGCCCCGCCCTGCCCATGCCCCAGGCTCCAGCAACACCCACCTGCCCAGGATGGTGCAGCTTTGCCCACATCCCTCTTTTCGGGGCACCCCCACCTTGTGTTGCCTCACTGTGAGTCATGCTTGGGGTCCTCTAGGATCCCTGCTGATCCTGTGCCCCCAGGTGGCCTGAGAGCCGACCCCTCGGCCCCCAGATCCCTGTGCTCCCCCCTCAGGGTGAATGAGGGGCTGTGCTCCCAGGACTGTCCCTGGGCAGCTGTGGCTCCCCGTGGGGGGCAGGCCTTCTGCCACCAGGTCCTCAGAAGCTCCAGGAAGCGGGAGGCTCCAGGGTGGGAAGCTGACTCAGGTGTGGGGTTCCCCTCCCCAGGCCTTGGGGAACAGACACAGGCAAGAGGGTGGGGCTGGGAGCTTTTCCGTTTTCCTTCCAAGAATCTGCAGCCGGGGAACCACACCTGGCGTGACTCAGGTGGATGGCCGACCCGGATGGGTGTCGGATGGGGGAGCCCCAGATGGGCCCTGCCTGCCTGGCACACTCAGGTGTGTGGGCTCCTGGTGTCTGGGAATTCTACGCAGACTGCGGAGTGGGTGTCTGGGAGCCCCTGCCACTGTGGCGTTTGGAGTGACCTCAGCCTGTTTGGCTTCATGGAGTGAGCACATCTGTACAGGCAGAGGGCGGGGAGGCTTGGGCTGGCCTGTGCTGGGCAGGGCCCCTCAGAGGCGGACACCCGATGCTTTGAGCCTCCCCCAGCTTCCCCCCAGCCTCTCCTGACCTCCTGCCCTGCCTAGCTCAGGCTGCCTCCTCTGGGGTCTTCCCGGCATCTCCAGGACAGAGGCCTATTTCTCTCACTTCCACTTGCCAACCTCCCAAGGCATATGGGCCGTGCCTGGCCAGGTGGCTTCCATGGTCCTCCATGCCACCCCAGCCCGCACTCCTGGGGCAGCTCATCAAGGCCCCCTGGTTCCCGGTGGACCCCCACCCCCGGCAGGGGCTCAGCAGGCTTGAGTTTGGTGGGTTCAGCCTGTGGCCAGGGCTAGTTGTTAGCTCATGGCTGCGGCTGGCGGTCACGGTATGAGCAGGGCTAGTGGAGAGCCCATGGCTGAGGAGAGTGGACAGTCTCCCCTGACACAGGTCACTGCTGGTGGCTGTGTCAGCTCTGTGCCGGCCCACACAGTCCCCCTGTTCATCCCGATGACTGCAGAGGCTGAGCGCTGGAGGCCAGGCAGGTGCAGACCTTGGGCTGGGGCCCCAGCATGGGGCTCCTGGTGCCACCTCTCCCTGAGAGATGGTGGGATGGTCAGGGCTCAGCCTCGCTCCCTGCACGGACCAGGCCTCTGGGCCCTGACTGGTGTGGGGGCAGTGATCACTCAGGGCTGGGCCTGCGTGGTGACCGCCGTGCCTGCCCTTTGCAGCTGGTACTTCAGCGGCATCAGCCGAACCGAGGCCCGGCAGCTGCTCCTGTCCCCGGCCAACGCGCCGGGGGCCTTCCTTGTTCGGCCCAGCGAGAGCAGCCGCGGGGACTACTCGCTGTCAGGTACCGGGGGACCCTCGCACCCCTGTCCCCACACGAGGCACCTTGCCCAGCCCCTGCCAGGCTGGAACACCCTTGACCTGGTAGCTCCTCAGGCAGTCCAGCCCCTCCCGTGCCCAGCCCCACCTCGGGCTTGAAGGCACCCACACAGGTCACCCACTGTTTGCTCTCTCCCTCACTCACCCATTTATTCACCCTTTCACCCATTCATCCATGTGCTCACTCACCCATTTATTCACCCCTTCACCCATTCATTCATCCCCGTGTTCACTCCCTCATTCATTTATTCACCCCTTCACCCATTCATTCATGTGTTCACTCACCCATTTATTCACCCCTTCACTCATTCATCCATGTGTTCACTCACTCACTCATTCATGTATTCACTCACTCACTCCTTCATTTATTCACCCATTCACTCATGTGTCCACATGTTCACTCGCTCATTCACCACTGCTCATTCATCATTCACTGCTCCCTTTTTATTCATTTACTTAGTCACTGACTCATTCGTTCACCAAGTATCTATTGAGTGCCTACTGTGTGCTCTCTGCACACTGTCGGCAGAGGCCCACCCAGGGCCCCTCTCACTGCCCCTCTGGCCTGCAGCTGCCCACGCTCCTTCTTTCTCCATGCAGCTCTGGTCATCTCAGGGCCCACAGGGCCCCCGGAGAGTTGTGGGGGTGATCTGGTTGGGGTGGTCGGAGGATCCAGGGCAGGCTGCAGCCAAGACGCAGCCTCCATCTCTGTGTCCTCCCAGTCCGGGCCCAGGCCAAAGTCCACCACTACCGCATCTCCACGGCGGCAGACGGTGGCCTCTACCTGCAGAAGGGCCGGCTCTTCCCCAGTCTGGAGGAGCTGCTCGCCTACTACAAGGCCAACTGGACGCTGATCCAGAACCCGCTGCTGCAGCCCTGCATGCCCCAGGTGGGCCCACCCCTGCCCTGCCACCTGCCAGGCTGCCCCTCGCTGGGCCTCAGACACTGCCCAACACATGTCCAGGGGGGCGAGCAGGGCAGCCGGCCTGGGCCTGACTCTGGGTGCTGCTGGGGCGTCTGATAAGGCCTGGGAGCACCCGGGGTCCCAGTGAATCCTCCTCACTCTGGTTGGGGCCCTGCCCCAGGGTTGGATCTGCTCTTATATCTCATCTCTGGGGATTCCCAGGGTGGAGGGAGATGAGATTCGTAGGATCACACCCCCACCACCATGTCCAGCTCTGCAGGGGTGCAGCAAGGAGGGCAGGGGCGAGTCTGGGGAGGCATCTGTGGAAGGTGCCCACAGCAGCGGAAGCTGTGGGAGGAGACACTGATCCGGACGATACCGCACCTGGGCTGGAGCCACAGGATCCCCATGGCTGTCCCTGATGAGCAGTCCTGCCGAGGGGTTGGGGCAGTGATCTGGTTCCTCTGGTCTCTTAATGACAGCCCAGGGGGGGCGGTAATGAGTGTTTGTGGACGGATGTCCGCCTCCAGCCAAGCAGCCACTTAGGTGGGGAAGCAACTGGGGCCAGGCCTCCGAGGTCAGCGCCTGGCTCCCTTTGCCCCAGGCAGGGCTGGTGTTGAGTGTGCGCTGGGGCGGAGGTGCCCGAGGCCTGGTACCCCCAGGAGAAACTGTCCGCTCTGCCCGGGGAGCAACAGGCAGAGGCACTGAGTGCCCCTACCCCTGCAGAAGCCCCGGAGCCAGGACGAGTGGGAGAGGCCGCGCTCCGAGTTCACCCTGCGGAGGAAGCTGGGCGAAGGCTACTTCGGGGAGGTGTGGGAAGGCGTGTGGCTCAGCTCCGTGCCCGTGGCGGTCAAGGTCATCAAGTCAGGTGGGTGAGGGCCTGCCCCCCCTGCAGGTCCCTCCCTCTGACACCTCAAGGCCTGGGGGCAGCGCCGGTGGGCAGGCAGGTGGAGTGGGCGGGCCCTGGAGCCGTGCCCTCTTCTGCAGCCGACATGAAGCTCGAAGACCTCGCCAAGGAGATCCAGACGCTCAAGAGCCTGAGGCATGAGCGTCTCATCCGGCTGCACGCGGTGTGCTCCGCCTCCGAGCCCGTGTACATCGTCACCGAGCTCATGCGCAAGGGCAACCTTCAGGCCTTCCTGGGCAGTGAGTGTCCACCCCTGCCGCAGCCACGACCCCTGGGCCCATGGGTGACGATGACACCCGCCCCCTCCCCCGCATGGGCCTGTGACGGTGCACCAGGCTTTTTTGTGGGGTGCTCGATTGTCCAGGCCCAGAGGGCTGTGGTGGGCTCTGGCCAGCAGGAGGTTCGGGGCCCCGGGTCTGCGTCAGGCCTGGGCCTTGTGGAGGGACAGTCAGGTCTTTGCGGTTCCAGGCTGGGCAGAGTGCAGGCGGGGAGGGCTGGTCCCCAGGCCCGAACAAGGTCAGTGTGGACCCAGCCCAGCCTGTGCCCCTCTCTGCTTTGGCCGTTCCCTGTCCCTGGTCTCCGCTGGGGGCTAGGCTGGGTTAGGGAGCAGCTGGCACTGAGCCCACACAGCCTTGGCGGGTGCTGCCGTGCTCCCCCACCTTAGGGAGGAGGAAACCGAGGCAGAGAAGGATGTGACGGGTGCAGACACTTGCCCCTGTCGGTCTCGCCCCGCAGGCCCTGAGGGCCAGGCCCTGAGCCCGCCCCTCCTGCTGAGCTTTGCCCGCCAGGTGGCCGAGGGCATGAGCTACCTGGAGGAGCGGCGCATCGTGCATCGGGACCTGGCCGCCAGAAACGTGCTTGTGGGCGATGATCTGACCTGCAAGGTGGCCGACTTTGGCCTGGCTCGGCTGCTCAAGGTCGGTGCTGGCTGCTGACCCTGCAGGGTGGCAGAGCGGCTGGGGGGGGAGGGTGCCACTCCGTCTACCCCACCCTGGTCTCCCCTCGCCCAGGACGACATCTACTCCCCAAGCAGCGGCTCCAAGATCCCCGTCAAGTGGACGGCGCCCGAGGCGGCCAACTACCGCGTCTTTTCCCAGAAATCGGACGTCTGGTCCTTCGGAGTCCTGCTGTATGAGGTCTTTGCCTATGGCCAGTGTCCCTACAAAGGTGGGCCACGAGGCAGCCCCAGGGAGGAGGCACACCTTCCCCTGGGGGTCACTGACCCTGGAAGGGAGGGCAAGAGGCCTCAAAGCTTGGCAGGGTCTGGCCAAGGGCTGGGGGTAGGTCTCCATGGTGACCCCCAGGCAGAAGCAAGGCAGCCCCTGTCCTCGGCCCCCTCCTCAGGCATGAGCAACCACGAGACGCTGCAGCAGATCATGCGAGGGTACCGCCTGCCGCGCCCGGCCGCCTGCCCCGCCGAGGTCTACCTGCTCATGCTGGAGTGCTGGAGGGGCAGCCCCGAGGAGCGGCCGGCCTTCGCCGTGCTGCAGGAGAAGCTGGGCGCCGTCTACAGGCGCCTCCACCCTGCCCTCACGTGACCCAGGCACTGGACGCTGGGCTGGGGTCACTCCTTCCCGCCAGGGCGTCCCCCCAGGATGATGTTTACCATCAACACGTACAGGGTGCCAGACGGCCCATCACCAGCCCGCAGAGCCTCTGGCTGTGGGCCTCACGCCCTGACACACACACTGACACACACACCTGTGTGCACAGGAGGCAGACACACGCAGACACCCACTCAGACAGGGGAGGGGCTGACGCCCTCTGCCCTAAGTGACCAGTGTCCCTGGCGAAGGATGAACTCAGTACAGAAGGCCAAGTGGAGCCCGAGTTTGCTCCGGCCTCAGGGAGAAGCCTTGAGCCTGGGCTGCGGTCCCCCTGCCCAGGCCTGCTGCCCTGGGCCTGCTCGACCCCCTCCCAGGGTCAAGAGCGAGGGGTGGGAATTCCCAATTTTCCCCAAAGTCCCCGCATGGCCTTGTGGAAGCGGTGGTGCCAGGGTTCCCAGGCAGACCGTGGGAACTGGCCCCACATGGCACATGCTGGGCGTACGCTCGGGCGTGGCCACTGCCTCCCACGGGCACACCGTTTCCCATGTGTAGACCCGAGCACACGGGAAGGCAGCACTCAATAAATACGTATTGACTGACTCAGACGCAGGCAGACATGGCTCACACATGGGCCTCAGCCCCCTGAACCAGAACAGGAGCTGGAGCTGGTGGGGTGGGCCCCCAGTTGGTTTACCCTGGCAGAGGGAGAGCTAACCCCCGCGTGGCCCAGGCCCCCACCCCAGGGCATCTTGGCACCCAGAGCAGGTTGACCCAGAGGCAGCACTACCCCTGGGCCATGGGCAGGACTCAGGTGTCAACAGCCCTTTCCGTCTCCCTGGGGCTGGAGCAGAGAGAACGGGATGGGATTGAAGAGGTGGGGGACTGGGTCAGGCCACGGGAAGGTCAGTGGTGGCTGCGTGACCGTTTTTGGGGGTGTGTGACCCTTGAGGTCAGTTCTCTGGGGATGGGGCAAAGGTGAGAGAGGCAGAGTCTGCCTCGTGGTGCTGGTCCTGGTGCTGCCCTGGCTGTGCAGGGTCAGGCGGGGTGGAGGTGGATGCTGCTGGGTGAGGGCTACTGGGTGACAGCTGGCTCTCTGGGGAAAAGGAAGCAGCCCCGATGCATGGCCTTTGGGGTCTCCAGGGTGTGACTGCTCCCGCCGGGCTGAGGAGCCGGGTGGGACGTGTGCTGTTGGTTCTTGCTCAGCCTGCCTGGCTCCCGTCACCACCAGATGGACAACAGAGGGGCGGGGGGGCCGGGCAGATGCGGTCTGTGTTTGTGGTCCCTGACCCCCGCCCTCCTGGGAGCCCCACGCTGGCAGCTATGCCCCAGAAGGCCTGTGGGGACTGAAGGGGCAGACCACGCAAGGCCGCCCTCAGCTCACTGTTCCCTGGAGGGAACGGCCGCTGTGTACGGTTTAGGGTCAGCTCTGGGCCTGCTGAGGCCAGTTAGCCCTTCACTGCTGACCCCAGGCCCTGCCCATGGGCTGGCACTGGAGGAAGCTGGGACCCTTGAGTGCAGATAAATGACCCTCCCTGGGGCCACTCAGATGCTCTGAGAACAGTGGGGACTTCCTGGAGGGGAGGGCGGTGGGGGCACCGCAGGTGGGGGCAGCACAGAAGGATGAGGTCACGTCAGGGCCCAGACCAGCCTGGCTGTGGCCCAGGGCCGAGTGGGGAGAGGGCAGGGGCCCGTTGGAGCCTTGGGTATCAGGCTGGGGCTGGTCCCGACCTGGGCGGATGATGGGGGCAAGAGGGTTTGGCCTGAGCCCTTTGACCCCAGCAGCCTAGCCGAAGCTCTGCCTTGGCCTGCAGCCCTTGACCCCCTCCATCCTGTCCTGGGAGACCCGAGGGGCCAGCTCTGGCTCGTAGGCTGAGAAGGTGAGGGTTGGAGGTGAGCTCTTGGGTTCTGGGTGTTTCCTCAACACACGAGCAGCAGTGTGGGACCAAGGGGCTCGGCCACCAGATGGGCGTGCCTCTGCTTTCCGAGCTGCAGTGCGAGCCAGGGGAGCTGGACGGGCGCCTCCAGGGAGGGAACGTGCTGGGCTTGGCAACCGGCCAGAGAGGTGAGTGTGTGTGGGGTCACTGCCTCATTCCTGGGGTGTCTCATCAGCCACAAGCTGAACAGGTTTAGTGCTCGGGGCCCCTGGGAGGGGCCGGGGACTTTCAGGCTTGAAACTCTCCTGCTTCCTGGTGCCATTCAGGCGGAACCTGGGCACGTCTGTGCCCCGCGACATGCCTTGGCCCCCTAGACATGGGGTCCCGGGCTGGCCCAAGGGCTGAGGGGACAGGAGCATGTTGGTGAGCAGTGAGAGGCAGGTTGGGGGCACCTGGGAGCTCCCTGGGCCCCAACATAGGGCCCAGCCGTCTCTCTCGCCCCCTCTGAGCCCTCCCCACACCCCCTCTGCTGCCCCTTCCCCACGTGGGGCAGAGCTGAGCTGGGCTGCCCATCGTCTATGAACTTGTTGAACGACACATGTTTGGGTCCGGAATCTTGGAGGGAGTGAGTGGTGCCACGGCTGTCTCTTCAGTCAAAGGGAAGGTGCCAACATGTAGGGTTTAGTATGTGATTTTCCCCTGGTCACTTGTCCTCACGGTCCTCCTGCCATGGGGGCCGAGTCCCTACACCTCCTCTCTGCAGATCCCTGCCCTCCTGTCCTCGGGAGCCCGGCGCACAGGACAGCTCCCATGGAGCTGTGGGGTGGGCTCCGTGGGGGAGGGAGAGGTGCCCAGGACACAGGACAACCTTCAGGGGTAGGAAGAGAAGCAGCCCTCTGGGGGGCTTCTGGCAGTGACTCTGCTAGGAGCTTGCTGTCCGTCTGTCTGTCCGGATCAGTCCTGGCAGCCCTGGGAGGTGTGGGAAGGAATGACTCACCCCTGGGCCTCCGGCCCTCCCCTCACCCTTCAGCTCCAAGACTCACTCCCCTTGGGTTCCACTTACACCTGAGCGCCCATCTGTCTGACCAGTTACCCTGCCCTCCCTTCCCCTGGGCTCAGGTCCGGCCACGTAGCCTGGGGCGCCTTAGTGGCTGGTTGGTGCACAGGTTTCCCATAGCAGATGTGCAAGAGCGGTACCCAGGCTGAGCTGGCCGCAGTGGGTAGGAGGACAGGTGGGGGCTGCCGGGGCCCTTAGGGTGGAGCCCAGGTGCCTGAGGAGGCCCGGGAGAGCCCGTCCCCAGTGGGCACGGGTGTGGCCAGCCTGGCCTGGCAGCCTCATCACAGGGAAGTGGGCCAGCTCCTCAGCTGGGCGGAGATGGCCTGTCAGGGTTAGCACCGCCTGCCCTTCCTGCCAGCCAGCGTGCCGGCAGCCAGCAGAGTGACAGGTGGCGAGGCCAGGTGGCCAGGTCCTGCCGCTGCGCCGGCCATGGCGTCCCAGGGCCAGGTGCACCTGAACCCCGAGTACGTAGGCCTCTGGGACTTTGAGGCCCGGACAGACGAGGAGCTGAGCTTCAGGGCGGGTGACCTCTTCCACGTGGCCAGGAAGGAGGAAGAGTGGTGGTGGGCCACGCTGCTGGACGAGGCGGGCCTGGCCCTGGCCGAGGGCTACGTGCCCCACAACTACCTGGCCGAGAAGGAGACAGTGGAGTCTGAGCCGTAAGTGTCCCTGTGGGCCCTGTGGGTCACTCCAAGGTGCCCCCAATCCCTAGGCCCTGCGGCCCTGCGAGAGCTCCAGGCAGGGTGGCAGTCAGACAGAGCTCCGTGCCAGGTGGTCTCGGGGGAGGGGCAAGCGTGCTGGGCCGGCCCCTGGGAGGCCGGTGAGGGTGGCGACCCGTGGCTCTGTCTCCCTGTGTTCCCCAGTCAGGACTGGACCCCACCGTCCCGGTCCTGGGAGCACTAACTGGGCTTTCACCAAGTGTCATCTGGGGATGGGGGCATGTGGCCCCTCCCCTGGGCTCCCCACAGTCACTTCGTGGTGCCAGGACCCAGAGAGGACAGAAGGGTCCGCAGTGGGCTTCCGGGTGGCTGGCCGACGGTGATGAGGTCTGCGCGGGGGACTGACACAGGAGCATTGGGCCTTTTGGGGAGTGAAGCTTCACTCACCTTCCAAACAACTGAAACCAGATGTGTGACTCAGAGGGAGCGCTCCAGAAGGTCATTGCGACATGCTCATCCAGGGCGTGTGCTGAGGCATGTGCTCCCTGTGCCCTCGCAGCTGCCCTGTCACTGGCAAGGTGGCTCCCAGAGGCGGTGGCCAGCTCTGAGGGGCTGTCTAGGAAGCTTAGACCACAAGGGGCAGCCTGGTGAGGGCGTGTCCATGGCGCCCTGAGGTGGTTCTTCCGAGCTCTGGGTGGGGTGGGTCCAGGAGGGACTCCTGTTTCCTGCCTGAACTCCCATGATCGTGGTGGCTCACCAGCACCCACGTGGACTGAGCACCAGGCTGTGCCGGGAGAGCACGAGAGCATGTGTGGGTTACTCCCACCGCAGGGAGATAAGCAGCAAACAATCACAGTCATAAAGAGGACAGTTTCAGAAGGCGGGGTCCCATGACAGGGATACTGCAGGGTGGGCACGGCTGGTGAAGGCCCCTGAGGCCCTGAGAGCCCAGGGCATTTGAGAAGCAGGAAGGAGGCAGGGGGGTTGGAGGGGTGAGCAAATGGGAGAGACTGGAGAAGTGCTGGATCGGTCAGGGGCAGAGTGTGGACTCCCAAGGTGCTCTCGCAGGGCAGTAGCCTTCTGTGCAGGTGCCCAAGTTCCAAAGGTGCCTGAGGGAGTCGGGGTACCAACAGCAGAGCAGCCGGCAGCAGAGGTTATGTGCGGAGCTCTGAAGGCCCCACCCTGCAGTCCAGAGTCAAGGGCTCATCCATGCCCTGGTTCTGGGAGCTGGTGTGTGCAAATACGTGTGAGCGTGTGGGTGCATGCATGTGTGTGTGCATGCGTGTGAATGTGTGGGTGCATGCGTGTGTGGGGTGCATGTGTGTATGTGTGGGTGCATGCATGTGTGAGGTGCATGCGTGTGAACATGTGGGTGCATGCGTGTGAATATGTGGGTGCATGCGTGTGTGCGTGTGTGGGTACGTGTGTGTGCATGCGTGTGAACATGTGGGTGCACGGATATGGGCATGCATGTTAACGTGGGTGCATGCATGTGAATGTGTGAGTGCATTGTGTGGGGTACATGCGTGTGAACACGTGGGTGCATGTGTCTGCATGCATGTGAATGTGTGGGTGCATGCGTGTGTGTGTGGGTGCATGCATGTGAACGTGTGGGTGCATGTGTGTGAACACATGGGTGCATGTGTGTGTGCATGCTTGCAAACGTGTGGGTGCATGCATGTGAATGTGTGGGTGCCTGTGTGTGTGTATGCATGCATGTGAACATGTGGGTGCACACGTCTGTGTGGGGCGCATGCGTGTGAATGTGTGGATGCATGAGTGTGTGTGGAGTGCGTGTGTGTGAACATGTGGGTGCATGCGTGTGTGAATGTGTGAACGTGTGTGTGCATGAGTGTGTGTGGGTACACGTGTGTGTGTGGGTGCACGCGTGTGAATGTGTGAGTGTATGTGTGTGAACATGTGGGTGCATGTGTGTGAACGTGTGGGTGCATGCATGTGAATGTGTGGGTGTGTGTGTGAACACGTGGGTGCATGTGTGTGCATGCTTGCGAACATGTGGGCACAGGTGTGTGTGGGGTGCATGTGTGTGAACATGTGGGTGCATGTGTGTGAACACGTGGGTGCATGATTGTGAACGTGTGGGTGCATGCGTGTGTGGTGCATGTGTGTG